CTGTTGAGTCTTGTCTTTTGCAAAGTTCACAAGACCTATTTGCTCTTTGTGAGACTAATTTGAGTTCAGCTGTGTCATCTTGTGATCCAAGTGTTGATGGTTATCTTCATTTAATTTGTAGAGACTCTAATAGTCACAAACTTGGCCTGGGCATTTACATTCGTAAAAATTCATTCATTTGTCGGATAATTAAGTTTGAATCCAAAAACTAATCTTTTAAGTGCTATCGTTCTATATTCTCTCTCCTTCATCTATATATATATCGTTCTATATCGCTCTCCTTCATCTCAAGACTGCACTCTTCTTGATGTTATTTCTGATCATATTGACCAAGCCCTTTCTCTTTATCAATCAGCCAGTATTGTTGTTGTTGGTCACTTTAATGCTCATCACACTGAATGGCTTGGCTCTAGTGTCAGCAACTCTGCAGGCGTTAAAGCCCACAACTTTTGCCTTTCTCAATCTCTAACTCAAACAGTCAACTTTCCAACTTGCTTTCCAGACAATCCGAACCACTTACCTTCTCTACTCGACTTATGTCTTGTTTCTGATTCAAGTCAGTGCGCAGTTTCTCCATGTTCACCCTTAGGTGCCTCTGATCACAGTTTAATCTCTCTAAATCTATTATCTCATTCTTCTTTATCATCAGAATCCCCATCTCATCGAACATCTGTGATTTTCTTCTTGATGGCCCTTGGGTAGAAATCTTTCATCTTCCTGTTGACAAAATTGCTTCTAACATAACTTGGTGGATTCAGGCTGGCATGGAATCCTATATTCCCTCTTGAAGATTCCAGATCAAGTCTCACTCTTCTCCATGGTTTTCCTCACACTGTGCTGCTGCAATTGCCAATCGAAAACATACATCTGGAACCATCGTAAACAGTTTTTGTCTATCGCCAAAGCCCGCTATTCTCAGGTCATGAAATCTTGTATTTCATCACGAAAATTAAGCTCTAGTGACTTCGAGAGAATCTTTAATAGTATCAATAATAAGGGCAAATCTGTAATTCCACCTTTTTTGTATTGTTTATGCTTAATCACCTCACCTAAAGACAAAGCTGAATTGTTTGCTAAGAACTTTTTATCAATATTATCTCTTGATTCCATTATTTGCGTTCTACCTGATATAGCTGTCAAACAGGTTGATTCATTTCTCGACATCCGTATCACTCCAGTTACTGTATCTAAAGTGAATTTCTGCTTAGACTCTTCTACAGCTTGCGGCCCGGACAACATAATTGTTATAGTCTTGCATAAGTGTTCTACGGAGCTGTCGTCTCTCCTTTCAATACTATTCAATAAGTGCTTATCAGAATCTTGTTTTCAGCCTGCTGGAAAATAGCATCTGTTATCCCTATTTTCCAAAATTCTGGAGAGCAATATGAATCGTCTAACTTTCATCCCATTAGTCTTCTTCCTATCGTAAGCAAGGTTTTTGAATTTTTAATTAACAAGCACTTAATCACTGATCTTGAATCTAATAACTTACTTTCTGATCATCAATATGGATTTTGATTTTCTCGTTCCACGGCTGATTTGCTAACAGTAATAACCGATAGGTTTTATCGCGCATTAGATAAAGGTGGAGAGGTTAAGGTCATCACTCTTGACAATTCTAAAGTGTTTGATAAAGTTTGGCATGCTGGTCTTCTCCATAAGCTTTCTTCTTATGGTGTATCTGGAAACATCTTTAAGATTATTGAATCCTTCCTTTCCAATCGTAGTATAAAAGTTGTCCTTGATGGAAGGACTCTTCTTCTTATTCTGTAACCTCAGGGGTTCCTCAAGTTTCAGTCCTTGGCCCTATTATACTCTTTTTAATTTACATTAACGATCTTCCAGATATTCTCACATCTAAGGTGGCATTGTTTGCTGATGATACTACCATTTATTCTTGTCACGATAAGAAGCCAATTCCCTCTGATTGATTGCAGGGGGCATCTGAGCTTGAAAAGGATCTTACTTCTGCTACAGCATGGGGCTCACATTGGCTGGTGAACTTTAATTCAGATAAAACTCAATTTTTTTTTAGCCAATCGTTATCACATAATTTAGACCTTCCTATGTTTATAAACGGTAATTTACTCGATGAGTCATTTACTCTTCATCTTCTAGGATTTACTCTTACTTTTGATCTTTCGTGGAAACCTTATATAAAATCCGTTGTAAAATTAGCATCTGCTAAAGTTGCATCTCTTTATCGAGCTAGACACTTTCTTAAATCCGGCCTTGTATGGAATACTGTTGCCATATCTGGGGCGGATCTTCTAATGATGCCCTTTCTCTTTTAGACAAGGTGCAAAAACGTATTGAAAACATAGTTGGACCTGCTATTGCAGCCAACCTTTAACACATCTTCGTAATGTTTTTCTTTCTCTTTTCTACAAATACTATAATGAGAACTGCTCTAAAGAGGCAGCATTTTTTGTGCCATCTACTAAAATTCATTCTCGTATTACTCGTCATTCAACATTTTTTTTTTCTTTAGGTGCTCCAAGAAGACCTAATCTTGCTCTAAAATCTTCATCTTTTCTTTTCCAGTAACTCTTAACTCTAATTAGTTGTTGCTTACAGCCTTGTTAAAAGCAAAGATGTTTAAAAAAAAAACAAAAAAAAAAAACAAAAAACTTAGGGATTCTCCATAAGTTACATAACGCAAAAATTTACAATAAACAAAAACAAAAATTACTAAAAGTTTTCCCTAGCAAAGTCTTAATTTAAATAATAAATCAAAATAGCCCATTAAGTTGAGCTCAGTTTTTAAAATATATTTTGCGTTGCCTATTAGGGATTGTCCATAAATTACGCAACGTAAAGCTTATTTCAAAAATATCATTTTGCTCTTTTGCGCGGCGGTTTTCGCAGGACTTTAAACGTTGTTTATATACTTGGTTTAATTAATGACTCTGCGAGAGAAATTTTTTAATGCTTTGTCTTAAGTCTTTAAGTTTAATTTCGTGTTACGTAATTTATGGACGATCCCTTATGCCGATCTGCATCTCATAAAATTCGCACTTTTTCAGCTTCGCCTTATCTTCGTATGCCCTTGTAAAAAAGGCTAAAAACTACCCACGGAAGTACAAGAAAGTACTTCCATGGTCAACCATCGAATTTTGCACGTGAAATAGCACGTGATTTCTAAAAATATATTTTTTCACAAATCACAATATGACTTAAATTACGCGAAAAAAAGTTAAAAAATTATAAATTATATTATGATTTGTAAAGCAAAAAAATTGAATACAAATATATAAAATTTTTAAATATATTTCAAATCATATTATTTTTTATTGAAATATATTAAAATCTTTTTATTTTGTTTAATTTATATAGGTCATGGTTATACATTATCATAAAAGACTTTAATAAAAGTAAAAGTAAGATAAAATCATTTCAATACATTTTACATGTTGATTTAATTAATTTAATTTAAATTAATTATTTTCATTCACTTACATTTTACATACAAAGTTTTGATTTAACTTAAATTGTTTCATTTATTTACATTTTACATTAATTTATTACATTCATTGTTACATACACACATTTTACATACATTAATTTAATAAGTTTAATTTAAATTAATTTAAATGATTTGATCATAATTTTAAAATTCTAGTATTTTTTTAATTCAAATTTTTCGAATGTCTTTATTTAATAATTTTTATTTAAAAAATAATAAAACTGAAAACGCACTAAATTTTTAAAACTTAATTTATTAACTAAGTTAAAAATCTCCACCTATTTACAAGCCTACATACAAATAAAAAGAGTCCTTTTTTAAAAAAGCTTTTTATTATGTTGAATATTTTTCGAAAGAAAGATAGCATTTAAGTTTTCAATATATTAATGACCTAAATGCTAGTCTATTATATGAAAACTTGTGCAAATAATACACCAGAATATTAAAATTATAAAGTAGCAGTTTGAAAAATAGCCTCTCAAAAGAAGTTTTTATAGGGCAAATGTTAATTAGTTTTTTTTAAGTTAAATTGTACTTTTTAGATAGAAGTCTTTAAATATAATTTTTAGTACCTTGCCAAAATTATCCTAAATTTAATTTTAATTTAGGAAAGTTATTTTTTTCACTCTCACAAACTGTAAATATAAATAACAACAAAATTCGGCAATCCAATTAATTAGATATCTTTACACCATTAATTATGTAATAATTATGTTATATCTGAACAGTATAATTTCAGTTGACCTATATAGTTATTTTGAGCGGTCCACTGTAGTCTTGCTCATTGGTTACTACTTATGGTGGCTGCTACTTATGGTGGACCATAAGTAGCAGCCACCATAATTAGGCTAGCTGATGGCTAACCATTATATCACATGTTGGAAATTTATCAGATGACCACTTATAGCGGATGTTACTAATGGTCTATATATATATATATATATATATATATATATATATATATATATATATATATATATATATATATATATATATATATATATATATAGCCCTAGAAATTAGGAAAAAATGAGGTGTTACATTGTTAGAGGTCAGCAAAAAATTTTGCCACAAAGGTCTTACCATAAAACACAAAAACATAGAGGCGATTTTTTGCTGACTTGAAACTCTGCACTTTATATATATATATATATATATATATATATATATATATATATATATATATATATATATATATATATATACATATATATATATATATATATACATATATATATATATATATATATACATATATATATATATATATATATATATATATATATATATATATATATATATATATATATATATATATATATATATATATATATATATATGTATATATATATATATATATATATGTATATATATATATATATATATATATATATATATATATATATATATATATATATATATATATATATATATATATATATATATATATATATATATATATATGTGTGTGTGTGGGTGTTTGTTTGTGTGTGTTGTATATTATATTTAATACAAGTCAACTGTATTTTTCATTTTAGACAATAAATGATGAAAGTAAAGTTTGCCAAAAGCTTGACTTATATCTTTTTTTTGCAAATTGTTATAGTAACAGAAACTAAAAGTAAGGTTATTTAAAAGATTTTATATTATCAGTTATTTTGTATATATCTTGCAAAACTGGTTTTTAAAACCCTTTAAAGTTTCTATATATTCACTTTCTTTAAAAATTTTCTTTAAGTACTTTACATTTTTAGTTTTAAGTCACAAATAAATTTGACTAGTTAAATTAAATTCCACGATATATTCAAGTATGATTTTATACATTACATATTTTTTAACATCTTTTTTAAGTAATATATGTTCTTTTTTAAACTTTTTCTTTTTTTAACATTTTTTATTTTTATATTCTCATTTAAAAAAAAATTCTCATTTTTATAAAAAAAATCATTTTTTTTACTTTTTTTTTTTTAGTTTTTTATATACCTTTGTAAGGTTTAGTATTGTTTGACAAATAACATTACATCAGTTATAAGAAAAGAAATTAGTGAAAAATTAGTGAATTATTGAAAAAAACCTTCACACCTTATCACTTTTGTTTTACAATTTTTTTTTCTTACTTTTTAAAACCAACTAGCTAAATGTTGTTTCTGGATCCTATATTATTAAACCATATAAATCCAAATCTATGTTTAGATTATATTAGATTTATTAAAGCATATGATACAAATTTTAAAGAACACATGGTTCCATATTGTTGAACACTAACAGTGTTTCTGAAAAAAGTTTTGTAATGGTGTACAATAATGATATAATACAAATTAAAAAATTTATATAACAAAATAAAAATAAGATATGCAGCAAACATTTTTCAAAATTGTGCAAACTAATTTTACTTTTAAAGATGTTGATAATATTGGCATTAACAACATCTAAAGGCAACTAATTCCAAATGTTAATAACTCGGTATGTAAAACTATATTTTTAAAACTCTAGTCAACATTGTTTTTTGCTCATATTTTACCTTGCTTGTTGTTTTTGTTGTTAATAAAAAAGAACACAGATTAATCAATTAAGACCAGATTTTTAAAGCAAGTTGAGAAGCCACATTATCATTTCATTATCATTTTAAAGGGGTAAACAGATCCTTTCTGTTGGCCAGCTTCCTCCATTTTTTCATCTATTAGACAGGGGTAAATATATTTATAATACATTTTTTTCAGTATGAGGATGTTGAATGCTGAAATTTTCTTGACTCAGTGCATAAGCTTTGCTTGTGTTTCTGTTTTTATGACTAGGTAACTCATACTATTATCTCTTAATTAGGGTACAGCTCTAAAACTCATTTTTATGGTTCTGAGGTGGGCTGGTTTCCCAAAATCTATGGCAGCTTTCAGAGAGACTGATTCAATCAACAGCTGTAAAGTATCAGAGTACTAACATGTTGCAATGCCATGTTGCAGATAGTATTCCTGTCCCTAATTTTGGTGTGCATTGTTGAGGCTACATTTGGAGGCTACATTTGCTTGGACTTTTAAATAGTGTATTAATGCTAAAGTTAATTGAAAATTAACTTTAGCATCGGAAGCCAGAGTGATTGGGATGTTTAACATTGGGTTAATTTGTTTAACTGGCAGAAAGAGTATGGCTATTAGATTCAACAGTCAAATTAGAATAAGATTTCTTTGCAAATAACTAATAAAATAATTTGCTTATATTTTATTCTGGAGAGAAATTTAAAGATTAGACCTATGAATTAGAGATTCAATGTTAAACTTACTTTAGTTAATGATATTGTTGAAGACTAACCAAAAGTCTCTAGAACCTAACATCTGATATAAGATATAAGAATAATAGAGCTTAACATCAGACAGGACCTTTTTACAATGGCTTCTTGGAATAATGTTAGATTAATAATAAAGACATTTGTTCTTAAGAGAGATTTTTTTGTAAAAAAGATTTAAAAAATGATAAATGTTTAATAAAGTAACTGCTCAAGATGGTGAAAAATGTGGAGTAGAATGAGGCTTGAATTGAAATTAAAGAGTAGGAATAAAAGCTTTCAAACTTTTAGTCCAGAAGAAATAAAATCTTCCAATATGCACTTTATGCATACATATTGTGGATATTAATATATGTTTGCTGTCTATTTAGATGCTGGTATGCAATATCCATTTATATTTCTATAAACTTTAGTATTTGTATGGTGTAGTATTTGCCAAAAGAGAAGATTATCAGATGATAATGATTATGATGATGATGATGATGATGATGATGATGATGATGAAGATGATGATGATGATGATGATGATGATGATGATGATGATGATGATGATGATGATGATGATGATGATGATGATGATGATGATGATGATGATGATGATGATGATGATGATGATGGTAATGATGGTTATGATGATCATGTTGATCATAATGATGTTTATATGTTTATATATGCATTTATATACAGAATATAACATGAATTTTGAATAAAAAAAAAGTACTTTAGGATAAATAAATGTTTATGCAGCCCCTGTCACAAACCTAGACCTAGCTATATTTTATCAAACCTGGCCCGGCCCCAACCCTAGCCAAATATCAGCCTGGTCACTTACTAGTTACAAACCTTTAAAGTATGTCCTACTTTCTTATGAAGTTCCTATATGGAAATTTTTTTGATTTTCTAGGGAAAAGCTAATAGTAATAAACTATGACTTAATATAAAATAAACCCCTTTGGGCTCTTGAATAAAGGCTAGAGATGGTGTCTGGAAAAAATACTCATCTTGAGCAGATGTTACTGTCTCCAGCTACTGTCTTGTAGAAGGCATTCTTGACTAAGACTCATGGGGTAAGCTAAAAAGTTATATTAACTAGCCACACCTACTTCATCAATTAGGCTAGTGTAGATGTACTCAGCTAACACAAAATCTTCAGCAAACCTTGCAAACATTCAAGAAGGTTCTATAAACATTCTTAGAACATACTCAAATGTTCAAAATATCCGGTGAATGTTCTCAATTGTTTTGTGTTAGCATGGTAGTGTTACTGTTGGTACTTTTAGTGTTCATTGTTGAGGGTACATTAAGAGCCCTTAGTTATGACTTTTAGTTAATTAGCAGGGCTGAGGCAAATGCGCACTGGTTGGGTTGCCATACTCTATCTATAATTGATTTAAGTTCTCTAATAGCTTGAAACCTGACTAAAATATCTTAAAATAGTTAAACATAAAAATCATCACCACCACTTAACTGATTCAATCTTTTATGAATAATCATGATCTTCAAAGTAACTTTTTTCTGTCAAAAATTACGAATTTCACAAGAATAACTTACTCTTTGTGAGTCTAATTTGAATTAGTCACATGCTCGGCCTGGGCATATACTTATGCATCAAATAACTTATCTGCCATAAACTCAGGTTTAAATCCTCTAAAATTACTTTAATGCGCTTCTACTTAGCACCTTTTCATTCAGTCAAATTTCTTTTTGTTTATTATTGTTCTCCTTTATGTCACATCTTTTTGTAAACAAAATGCGGGCGCATACTTGTATGCAGAAAACATTAAAACTTTAGAAGTTTAAATTAATAAGTTCATAATATAAATACACTTTATAAGTGTTTTTTGCATTTCTTTTATACCTTAAATAAAGTTTTGTCTTCTTTTTGAAAAATGATAAAAATAATTAGTTACATTTAAATTTTGTTTTCTTTTAAAAAATGATTGAAATAATTAGTTACATAAACAGGGGCGTGCTGGCTCCAAAAAGCACATGCGGGACTTTTTCAAAAAGGCTCATATATGCAGGGTTTTGCCAAATATACTTTATTTAAAGGCCCACATTTGTATATATATATATATATATATATATATATATATATATATATATATATATATATATATATTTATATATATATATATATATATATATATATATATATATATATATATATATATATATATATATATATATATATATATATATATATATATATATATATATATATATATATATAAACTGACTTTATCCAGTTAAATCAACATACTAAAGCAACGAGCTATAATTGGATTTCCTTAAAATTAAAACATGCGGGCCGCAGCACCGTGCTGCGGCAAGCATGCACGCATAAAAAAGAAAGACACAATTCTGTGAGTCTTTCTTTTTCAATCTTGAAAAAAATAAACTCTTTAATATTGTTAGTGCAGTAGTCAAACATTTTGTTACAATTCTGGTCATTTATGGGCCTTTGTAGACTTGCATTTGTAGTTAATCGTTTTACTATGCCACCAATACCATCACATGATGACTTACCATGACTTGTAGCAAAAAATGTCCACTCTGCATCAATGTCAAAATCATTTTTATGGAGATATTGTAAAGGTTTTTGTGGTTTTTATACTGGGCAGTACAATCATCAGAAAAATAAAGAATCTTTGAAATTTTAGGATGATATTCTTTTAAATAGTTAACTATTTGTGTTTGAACTTTATACACAAAACCAGTGTCATGCTCATTATCTTCTGACATGAAGCAAAACGATTTTTCTTCAAGTTGGTCATTTTTGTTTAATAAATAGAGGGCAACAGGGTGCAATGTGCATTGACTTTTGCACCAATGGTAACTTTGCATTTCATCTTGAATCACAAAATTGAAGTTTTCTGCAAAGTCAACTAAGACAATACAGCAGTTTTTTGCTAAATTTTCCTTTTATTGCTTTAGGTATCTTGATTGACATTTTGCAATGTAGGGATGAGCTGTTAACTTGTTTATTGCCTCTGATAGCATCAATTTGTATTCTTCAATAGTTGTTGTCTGATAGATCAATGTTGTTCTGTCTGTTTTCTGCCGCTGATTGAATGACACCTCCTCGTCATTGTCATTGTCAATTAGTTGTGCATCCAGAAACTTCTTTAAAGAAACTATACCTGGACAGTTCGGACATCGATGAACCATGCACTCGTTACTTGTCACATCACAAACAACTTTTGTCATCATATCTTTGTAAGTACATTTCATTTGTATAGCATTGGTCAAGAGTATTGCATTTTGATGGAGGGTACATGCACAAACAGAATGAGTGCCTGATGCTCCAACAGTTATACACCATTTTGGTCTTAAACTGC